ACTCCGGAGATGCGGTGAGTGGCGGCTGAGTTGCGGCACCCATAGGCCACGCCGAAGACGTGGCAAGGTGCGGTGGCGCTGCGGCCCCCGTAGGCCACGCCGGAGACGCGGTGGGTGGTGGCTGAGTTGCGGCACCCATAGGCCACGCCGAAGACGTGGCAAGATGCGGTGGCGCTGCGAACCCCGTAGGCCACGCTGGAGACGTGGTGGGTGGCGGCTGAGTTGCGGCACCCATAGGCCACGCCGAAGACGTGGCAAGGTGCGGTGGCGCTGCGGCCCCCGAGGCCACACCGGAGAGGCGGCGGTATAATACGGGCCTGCGGCGACCCCTGCGGGCCACCCCGCAGGCGTGGCGACGGATGGAGCTGCGGCCGCAGCCGCGGCAACCTCCCACGATGCGACGAGGGGCAGCGGCTTTGCGGCCTCCCCGGGCCATGCCATAGACGCGGCGAGGTGTGGATGCGCCACAGCGCCCGCGACCCACCTGTCCGCGGCGCCGTACGGAGCCGTGGTGCCAGCGTTCGTGACTGCGGCGGCCTCCGCGGCCGTGGCAACCTCCCGCGACGCGGCGAGGGGTGGCGGTGTTGCGGCCTCCACTGACCACGCCATAGTCGCGGCGGTATAATACGAGCCTGCGGTGGCCCCTGCGGTGGCCCCTGCGGGCCACCCCGCAGGCGCGGCGATGGATGGAGCTGCGGCCGCAGCCGCGGCAACCTCCCGCGACGTGGCGAGGGGCGGCGGCGTTGCAGCCTCCACTGGCCACGCCGTAGTCACGGCGGTATAATACGGACCTGCGGTGGCCCCTGCGGGCCACCCCACCGGCACGGCGACGTATGGAACCGCGGTGCCAGCGTGTGTGACTGCGGCAGCCCCACAGCCGCGGCAACCTCCCACGACGCGGCGTGGTGCGGCAGCGTTGCGGCCCCCATGGGCCACCCCGGACACGCGGCTTGGTGCGGCAGTGTTGCGGCCCCCATGGGCCACGCCGGAGACGTGGCAAGGTGCGGAGGTGCAGCAGCGGCCGCCGCCCACCCCGCAGGCGCGACGGGATGCGGAGGCGCATTAGCGCCCGTGACCCACCTTGAAGGCGCGACGAGGTGTGGGGCCGCGGCATCGCCAACGGCCAGCCCCTGCAGCCCCTCCCGCAGGCCTGACGCGGAGTGTCGGCGTTGGGGCCACCGTGGCCCACCCCGTAGGCGCGGTGGCGTAATACGGAGGTGCCGTGACTCCCGCGACCCACCCCGCATGCGCGGCGAGGTGTGGAGCCGCTGCAGCAGCAACGGCGACCTCCGGCGACGCGACGAGGGCCGGCAGCGTTGCGGCCTCCGTGGGCCATGCCGCAGACGCGGCGAGGAGGCGCAGCAGCGCCCGCGAGCCACCTCGCAAATGCGGCGGCATATGGATCCGCAGCGCCCGCGACCCACTTTGCAATAGCGTCAGCGTGGGGGGGCGCCGCGGCGTCCGTGGCGCCCGCGCCCGCCGACGTGGCGAGGTGCGGCGGCATTGCGGTCCCCGCAGGCCACGCCGCAGACGTGGTGAGGTGAGGAGCCGCAGCAGCGCCCACGAGCCGCCTCGCAATTGCGGCGGCATCCGCGGCCCGGCTCGCCGGTACGGCGAGGTGCGGAGCCGCGGCGGCATCCGTGGCAGCCCCCGCGGCAGAGCCCGCAGCCACGGCGGGGCGCGGGGCCGCGGCGGCATCCGCGGCAACGCTCGTCGGCACGGCGAGGTGCGGAGCCACGGCGGCATCCGCGGCAGTAGCTGCGGTGTACAGAGCCGTGGCGACGTCCGCGGCCCAGCCCGCAACTACGGCGGGGCGCGGGGCCGCGACGGCATCCGCGGCAAGGCTCGCCGACACGGCGAGGTGCAGAGCCGCGGCGGCATCCGCGGCAGCATCCGCGGCAGCAACGGCAGCCGCCGCTTCCGGCGTCGCAGCGGAAATTGCATCCGCTTGCGGCGCCCCCACCAACATGGCCGCCACCTCTGGCGGCGCATGAGAAATGGCGCTGAATTCCAAATTGGCGGGCGGCGAAACGGCGGGAATCCGCTGGCACCTCCTGCCCCGCTGAGTCCATCTCCACGGGGCTCGTCTCTGGGGCGCAGGACTGCCCCGGGGTCGCAGCCGGAGCCTCCCTGACGTCGTCGGCACTCTTCCGGCATCCCGCCGGTGGACTCCTGCCCGATTTAGGCATAGCGACGGCAGCGTAGCCACTTCCGACACCAGTTGTTGAGAAGTTCCCGATGACTCACTCGGAGGCTGAGGAAAGTTAAGGGCTTCCGCTAAAGGTTTATTACAAATCTTAACAACACACAGGGGTGAACAACTTCCTAGGGGTTAGGGGTCCCGGGCTAGGTCCCGACACAGCCGGCTGCCCTGTACTGTCTCCTCTGCGCCGGCCGTGGGATCAGCCAACACGGCCGATCGAGGAGCACAGCCACGTCTAGCCTGGCACTGTGCTCTCCCCTATCCCTACCCTCTTGCCCCTGGCTCCCCGTTCCACCCTTCTCCGACCCTACTCCCTCGCTACGACCTCGCTGACGTCACGGGGTCCCCCCTTTATCCTTGAGGAGCCATGACGTCATTCTGCTGCCCCGAGCGCATGACGTCACGTCATCGCACTGGACAGCACACGTGATGCCACTTCCCCATTCTACTCCTCTACATAGGAAAGCGGCTGCTGAAGTGAAGTTGCAACTTCTCACGGAGTCCCTGCAGCTCGCTCAAAGGGGCACGGTGACATCGTGAGACTGTTTTACGAGGACCGCTGGCTGCTGTGTCTTCATGCCGCACCGGTGTACTACCGCCAATCAGTCAATAACATTTTTTACTTCTTTCGGACTGTACGCAGCCAAACCGTGATAATCGGAGGTGCAGCCTCCCGGGAGGATGATGCAGCAGCAGTCCCTTCACAGTGCAGGGCGATGTCGCTGCTGTTGCTGCTTCTGTGCCCGATCCCAATCGAGTAATTTGCCATCGGTCAACTTTTTTCGAATTTGGCAAAATGTGGCTCGCGCCGGCACACAATGGGCACATCCCTCTGGTGCGTGACGACGCCACGGGATCTTTAACATCCACTGCGAGTGAAGCTAACGGCACTGCGCTGTTGCAAGTGTAGTGGGTTCTGGAGACATTGTCTTTAGAGGCAACACGGTTTATTATAAACTTTAACAATACTCCCCTTAACTCCCACTATCTCGGGAAGTACAACCTCCGGGCTAGCGTGCCCTTACACTGGGATACCTGGCTCTCAGCCCTCCGGCTATCTGTGCCCTAGGGGAGGCTCAACTGATCCGATCCAGCCAAGGTACGGGTCCTGACCACTGGTCCACGCTCGGCCCCGGCCCTTACAAGGATGTCGGGTCCCGGGGTCCCAGGGTCCTAGCCTAGCTGGTCTTCGGTTCTTTGTCTTCAGAGCACTGCCCCGAGCTGTCCCTGAGGTGCCCCTTTTATACACCTCCCGGGGACTCTCCGCCCCGGTACCGCCCCCTTTCTGGAACCTTCCAGGGGGCTCTGGAAGAACCCCCCAACCCCTCACCTGGGGTCTGGGGAGGGAGAACCCGGCCCCTCAACGGTCCGGCTCCCTCTGTCTTTCCCCAGCTCAGGGTGGCACCCCCTATGGGCCTGTGCCCGCAACTACAGGTAAGTATACACCGCGCGGTGTGTGCTATGTATTTTCGACGCGACACACGGACAACCCCGCAGTGCGTCTCACCCTTTGGTGGCCTACTGATACTCTCCTTGATTAATTTGGTTTCAACCGAGCGGCGTACCGCCCCCACCACCACCCCCCCTTGCCTGAGAAATTAATGTATGAACGGACATCGATGTTTTAGAAATCAATTGTCCATTTCGTGAGGTTATCCCAACTTAGGCGAAAAAAACAACAAAATCAAAGGACGCTCTGCACGCGTGATGTCATTCGTTTTTGTTCGCCGGGTACTCTTGGAAACCTGCGTTGTGTACAATCAGTGAGCTTAGGAAGGTATTTTATATCGTTCTAGGTTACGTGGATTTACATTTTATCGTGGTTATTTTATGCAGTATTGACAGATTCATACAAGATTATTCACCAATGACTCTCATGTACGATATAATTTCACACTGTTATAGATCACCCCACGTACCCCCTGGAGACATTGCCACGTAGCCCCCAGGGGTTCGCGTTCACCCCCCACCCCCCCGGTTGAGAGCCACGATGGTTTGTACAACCTCCCGCAGTGTTAACTGGGGCGGCCGGCCGGATCAAACCACCCAAGCGGGGTTAGGCGCGGCTGCTGGGCCATAACCCACGCTGTGCTGCTGCTGCTACAGCTCCCGGCATCGCGAGCAAGGACCGCTGCAGGGCACCTCCGCCGTGAGCCACAGCGCAGAGAGCCCCCCACGTGCGGCGTCGCTCGAGCACCTCCAAGCCACGGTGACACACGGCAGAATGCTGATGAGACCCAGACATATGGAAAACCGGCCAAGAGTTGGCGACGTGCTTCCGCTTGCTCTGCAACGCTGGCCTTGGTCTGCACAGGTCACCGGGGGCTGACGGGTTGGTGCATCGTCTCCTGTGCACAGGCCTGGAGATTCCACATTGCTATGGCCGAGCCTTCTCATTGGTAGGCGTTGTGGTCGCCCATCTGGCCACGAAGCGGGCTCGATCCTGCTGCTTTTGCAGGATCTGCGAGGGGAAACCTCGTCTATTCGCCTGGCGCCGCCACAAGAACGTGGAAAGTCCGCGGCACATGTGCGACAAAGAGCTTGGCAGCTCCTCGGATTTCTCGATAGGTAAAAAAACATTTCCCTTCGCTGACTTCGCGCGCTCACGGTGAGGGGGCGGGGGATCACGTGGTACAAGGCGCAAGGGGAGGGGGGTGCGGGAGAAGGGGGGTGGTGGCGAGGGGGAAGGCGCAGCACCTATTGGCTCGCCGAGTTACCGGCATCGCAGCGCGGACCAATCGTGTGCCCGGGACGTTTTGGTGGAGGAGGGGCGGGGCGAGCCCCCAACCCGCTCGCTGGTCACGTGATGACAAGTTTCGCCGTTTGCGAATAGGAAGTCACGCGCGGACGGTCCGTTAGGAACGCCGCAGAGCGCTGTTGTTGTTTACTCTCGTTGTTGTTGTTTACTCTTGTTGTTGCTGCTGCTGCTGCTGCCGCTGCTGGTGAGGAGAGCCGTCGGGGGGCTGCTGCCTTCTCCCGTGAGGCAATCGCTTGACCGTGAGAGAGGCCCCAGGGCTAGTGCCCGTGCCGTCACTGCGGCGCCAATGGGATCGGTAAAGGACGCGAGATGTTGTATTGCTCGCCCTAGCAACGTGGAGTTTACCACCGCTGGCTGTGCACAGGAGATGCGCGCCGATGCCCCGTGATGTTAACTCCTTCGCCTGGTATACAGGAGGTCGTGGGTTTGACCCCGACCCTGACGCCTGCTGCTGTATATTTGGATTTGTCGGCGTCTCTCTCCCCGTGGTCGCGTGGATTTGTCTCCGGGTCTTCCTCCGGTTCTCCACATTTAGAATCAACTCTCACGCGCTTTGGTGTTATTTGGCTGCTGCTATGAATGACCACGCGACGACGATGATGATGATGATGAGTCACTTTGGTTGAACTGTCATTGGTGAACAGCGCGGGTCGCTTCGGAAAAAGAGCGACGTGGCAGCTCGGTGGGGCCTTGAGTAAAATTAACAAAACTTAGTTTCGAGTAAGCCCGTTGCGAGAGCGTTACGGCTAAGCACGGAGGGAGCGGGGCCCACGATGCCTCCGATCGTTGCGCAACGACTGCTCCAGCCATCAGAGTCCCGCCGAGTCTCGAGACGCCCTCATCCACGAGGGTCCTGCCCAACGGTTGCGCGCAACAGGAGGCGATGTTTTGATGTTGCTGCTGTGGCAGTGATTGTAAAGTTACCTCGCGTGAATTTTTTTTTTACCCTATCCTGGCAAAACAGGAGTTGTGTTCGGATGTATCAAATAGATACCTTTTGCAACAATGCATCAAGTCCGCATTAACCACACGTTACTTGCGGCAAAACATGCAAGCAAACATGATCTCTGATAATGTGTGTGCATTGTCTTTGATACGGATTGACCTTCACCAGAGATAGCCTTTTTTATGGCCTAGTCTCACCACCAGTGTTAGACTAGAGAACGCCAAAAGACAAACAGTACAAAGGAAATGCAAGTATCAGAGCACTTATAGCTCGGGTCGATAGATATATCTATGGGACCTGTTTGCCAGTATCCTGATATACAGGAGGTCGTGAGTTCGATCCCGACCCTGACGCCTGCTGTATGTTTAGAGTTTGCGTGTCTCTCCCCATGGTAGCGTGGATTTTGCTCCGGGTCCTCTGGTTTTTCCCTCAAACATTTGAATCAGCATCACGTGTTTAGAGTAGATGGCTGCTATACATTTCCACACGATGATAAGACACTTTGTTGAGATATCATTTGTGATGACCAAGTCACTTCTGAAAAAGCGCTACATAGCTCAGTAGGCCTTACCTGTAAAATAAATTGTAGTTTAGTTTTAGTGTGATCCCAATTGAGTAATTTTCAGGTGCTTGTTCAGCATTGGAATGCCTTGGCCAAAACCTGTTCCACTGTATGTGTGTGGTTTTAGCTATGAGAGTAGGAAACCATAAAACCCAGAGGAAACCCACTCAGAACAGGGGGAGACAGCGTACAAACTGCACCACGCAGTGGCGCCAGTCGGGAATCGAACCCAGGCGTCTCTTGCTGTGAGGCGCGTGTCGCCACCACACCATCCGAGACTTAAGTATTTCCTCCCTGAGTGCTGTGAATGTTCTTGTGACGCCTGTGCAGTATGTTCGCCTATGATGTCGAGCGTGTGAATGTGGAGTTTCTACGATTTCCCCACAATTCTGCGTGGAGTTTTTCTGGATTCTGCTGTTTTCCTCCCAAGATAAACACTTGCAGTGGAACTGGTATTAGCCAAAACACACCCCAGTGCTGAAAATGTACCTGCGAATTACTCGACTGGGATCACACTGGACATTTGTGAAAAAGAGCTTCATAGCTCATCGGACTCCTTCAGCATAAATACATATTCGAATTCACAGCAGCAGCAGCATCGCCCCCTTACTGCAAAAAAACTTGGTAGAACCCTCTTGGTTGAACATGCGAAAGCATAACAATACCGTAATAACGAATAAACGTCCAACTTGTCCTGGACATTGATGTAGAAACTGGTTCTCTGCAGCATTGACATGCGGCGCTACCAGAGGGGCGGCCACTCCCCAGGCATCGGCGTGCTGCTACTGGGCGGCGAGATGCTCCGCTTCGGCCTCCACCGCATTCCGCCCGTGACGCTGGGCACCATCGGCCTCAACGCCCTCCTGTTCATGGCGCCGTGGGGTGGCCCCCATGCCACCTGCCTGGGCGTGGAGGCCGTGTGGGGTCGCTGTGATTGGCGGCGCCTGGCGCTGGCGCCCGTGCACCACGCCGACGACATGCACCTCTACTTCAACATGATCTCCGCGCTGTGGAAGGGCGTCGCGCTGGAGGGCCGGCTGGGCAGCGTGCGTTTCGGCACCCTGCTGCTGACGTTGGCGGCGCTGACAGGCGTGGTGCAACTAGCGCTGGCCGCCGCCCTGGCCTTCGCCACGGGCAGCTACTCCTACATGGAGCAGTGCGCCATCGGTTTCTCCGGTAGGCACTACCCCCCCCCCCCGCCCCACCGTGCCGCGGGAGTGCCAGAATTCTCGTGTGAAATGCCCTGGGGATTCAAGAGCCTGCTGGACATCTGTGAGAATGCTTTACAGCTCATCGGAACCTCCAGCATAAATATTCTCAAATGGAGCAGACCATCTTGTTCCGGCATCATAGGCCCAATTTTGCCTAATAAAAATATATATCCATAAGAGGTTTTTGGGTTAGATCGGGTAAATATATAAATGTGTCGTTAAAACCCGCCACCACCCGACACAGCCAACTAGTAAGGGTTGTCACATAAATAGAACGTGCCAATTCGTCACTAGTACAGCACACCGGTGTGTTGGAGAGCCAGCCGCAACATTTACAAACAGTACGACGTTTCTCCAGTAATTGTAACTAGCTTCATAAGGCGACAGCCAGATTTGTGGAGAAGTCTTTCTGTTTCGTTTATTATATAGAGGCGTAGATGTGTTGACCACCCTTCTGTGCTCTTGCACAATGTGGGGTGGGGGGGATTACTGATGCAACTTACATTATTCATGTGCATTATGCGAGCATGTGCATTATGTGACAACCCTTACTAGTTGACTGTGTCGGGTGGTGGCGGGTTTTAACGACACATTTATTTTTTTACACGCTCTAACCCAAAAACATGGATGTTATTGGTTGCGAAAGCCTACGTGTTAAACCAAAAAAATATATACGACTCAATTGGGATCACACATAGCAGCAGCGATCTTCGCCTCCACTGGCAGACTGATGCCCACTTGCAGGCCAGGTGTTGAGTTACGGGGGGGGGGGGGGCTTCCCTTTGAACTTTTGAGATGCGATGGCGCTTGCCGTGAAGGGCGCCACATCAGAGACAAAATGAGGGTGACCGCGGCGTGCCTTGCACCTGCCCCCCCGCTGCACCCCGTGCCCTCCAGGTGTCCTGTTTGGACTCAAGGTGATCAACAACCACTACAACCCTGGCGGAGTGACCTACGTGATGAACACATTCCCCATGCAGAACCGCTACGCATGCTGGGCCGAGCTCGTCGTCATGCACCTGCTGGTACCCAGGTCTGCACGCCCCCCCCCCCTCTCCCCCCCTTGGGTCAATTCCATCGCACGCACCCCTCATGAACGTTGGGAGCTTAGGCTTTTTGTGGAACTGACCCCCTGAGCCTCAAGCTACAAAACATCCTGGTGTGGCCGGAAAAAAACTTTCCCGGTAGGTTAATAATAAAACAAAAAAAATATGTCAACTTTATTTTTCCAGGTAAGGTCCACTGAGCTGTGTAGCTCTTTTTAAAAAAAATCAGACTTGGCCAGAAATGATCAATTAATGGAGTGGCTTATCATGTGGAAATGTATAGCAGCAGCTAAATACTCAAAACACATGATTCTAAATGTGGAGGGAAAAACCTGGAGGACCGAGGATAAAAATCTATGCGACCACTGGGAGAACGAATATACAGACGTCAGGGTTTGAATCAAACCCACGACCTGTATACCAGGGGAGGTAGTTAACATCTCGCCACCACAGCACGATGACTATATGTGATCCAATAATGCATCTTCAGCTATAATGGCCGTGTCCCGGTGTACCCTTGCAAAAGCTTCAGTGAAAATCGGGATTTTGTCATCGTTTTAAAACTCTCTGGCTTCCTGCTTGACCCTTGATGTTGCGAGTGGGTAGAGGTACCTGAGTAGTGGGAGAGGCTACCTGAGTAATATGAAGGGCTATCTGAGCATTGGGAGGGGCTACCTGAGCAGTGGGATGGGTTACCTGAGCAGTGGACGGAGCCTACACCTTATCTGTAGCTTCCAAAACGCCTCACCTGAAACCATAACTTACAGGCGCAATAACCCGAACGCCAAAACGCTGGGCAACTTCACTTAAAATGCAGGTGGTGAGTCGCGTGGCGATCTCAATCAATGGGGGGGCAGAGACGCTTGGATTCTAGATGTTCTAAACCTAACACCCCCCCCCCCCCGTCTCTTCCTCTCTCTGTCTCCCCTCTCTCCTCTCTCTGTGTGTGCAGGGCGTCATTCATCGGGCACCTGTCAGGGATCCTCGTGGGCCTTGTCTACGTGCACAGTCCTCTGCGTCGCTTGCTGGACAGTACGCCGCTCCGCTCTCCCACTCACCTCTTCCTCTCGCCTCTCCCCCTCGCCTCTGGCTGCAGAATAAGAATTGTCGGAATGTATTTATTTGTACTCGTGGAATCTGATGAGCCGTAGAGCTCTTTTTCACAGATGTCCGGTTTCTTGGGCTTGCTTGGGTCGGGGGCCACGTCGCGGAGTGACGGAGCGAGTTTGAGACGGACTTCTAAAACACATCGCAGGTGTTTCCTGCCCCAATGACCATTGAGGCGGTGCTCAACCCCTGAGTCGGAGGTGCAAATTCCGTATTCCTATGGCAGGGCAGGTATTTTCGGAGGACAGCGGCTGTCAATCGACCCTCCAATGTGGTGCTTATTTAATTGACCACCGGAGGGAGGGCTGATGGGCTCAGTCAATCCCCCCCACAACCAGCATGTGGATTCGCCACCATGGAACCCCACGGTAGTGAGATGTTAACTATTTCGCCTGGTATACAGGAGGTCGTGGGTTTAATCCCAACCCTGACACCTGCTGTATATTTCGTGTGTCTCTCTCTCCCCGTGGTCGCAAGGAATTTTCTCCGGTCCTCCGGTTTTTCTCTCCACGTTTAGAATCAACATCACGCGTTTAGAGTATTTGGCTGCTGCTATACATTTTTACGTGATATAGCCAGCACGCTTCTGAAAAAGAGCTGTAGAGCTCAGTGGGCCATACCTGGTAAAATAATGAAATAGTTTTAGTATTCTTGGTTCTTTCGGTAAAGTCACGTTGAAGGGAAACAATAAAATAATAAAATATATAAAACAATCAAATTCTCACGACGTTTCGACTGTAACACAAACTGTAACACAAACAGTTTGTGTTACAGTCGAAACGTCGTGACACAAACAGTTTGTGTTACAGTCGAAACGTCGTGAGAATTTTATTGTTTTATATATTTATTCTTTTATTGTTTCCTTTCAACGTGACTTTACCGAAAGAACCAAGAATATGAATCACTGCAGTCACGAAAGCTTTAAATCAAAATATAGTTTTAGTAGTTTAGTCCGGTTTCTTGCGAGCTACTCGCTCCACCGCTGAGCTCTCTGGCCTGGTCCCGGAGTCGTGAAGCATTTGGTGACCTTCGCCACGAACCCTGTGACCTGAGTTTAATTCCTGGACAGGGCGGCACCGCTACAACCGATACGCCAAGACAAAGGTCCCCCGTGTCGCATGCACAGGCTATTTGGGCAAGTGCTCTTAGCGAGCAGCTATAAAGGCCGGCGTGGAGAACCATGCTTGGCCGCCTTTGTCTCCCCATTCCTGATGTTTAAGGACGAGTCGAACTCGGGGAGGCTACGGACCAGTTTATATATTCGTCACCGATTTTGGGAATCAAATTTGGCAGTGCACTAACCACTGCACCACCGCTGGCAAGATAAAGATCCCCTGTATAGCCTGAACAGACTGTTGGGGCAAGTGCTGTTAGCGAGCACCTATGAAGGCCGGCACGGCACACGAGGGGGTGGATGGCTAGTACCACGCCCGGCCGCCTTTGTCTCCCTAGTGGCGGTGCTTACACGTCATACCAGGTACTCATTTGAGGCTGAGTCGACCTGGGGAGGCCCAGGTTCACATAATCACTGGTGTTGGCCGTGAGCGGGAATCAAACTCAGGTGGCTGGGTTCATAGCGCAGCACACTAACCACTACACTACCGCTCCTCACTGTCGACTGGCACACATACAGACACATGCACTCCCCTCCCTCCCATCTTTCCATGATGGCAGCATCAATAATTGCATGGTTTATGTCGCGTAGATGCCGTGGTGTTTGGGTCAAGGATCCTGCGCAGAGTATTCTACAGCGAACATGCCGGTGAGTGGGGTGGGCGTGGAGGGTGAAGGGGGGTGGGTGGGGTGGGGGCAGTGTTGACCAAATCGCTGCCGAGCTGGTGGCGGCGAGCGTGTCGGCAAAGCCATGCTGTCGTCGCGTTGTTGGCCACACTGCGGTTCGCCCCTTGGGGCCTCCGGCGTTGGCTCGGTAATTGTCACGAGAAAGGTCCCGGGCCTTGGCAAAGCGGGGCGTGCTGTGCGTGTGTCGTCGTGCTGCGCATGTGCGTGTAGCCGCGCTTGTTCGCGTGCGGGCGGCCATGCGCGTGCTTGTGCCGGTGAGCGAGTTTGCGCGTGCGCTTTGGTTCCTGTGAATGCTCTGTCTGGTACGCGCTTGCGTGTGTGTGTTTCTTTTTCTCCATGAACGTGTTATGCCCCGCTGTGTCTCGCGAGACATAAATAATACGTGATGGTGCGGAGAGAGCATGGGAGGAGGAGCAGAGGAGGAGCGCCGTGCCTGCGCGTGCGTGCGAGTGCTTGCGAGCGTGTGCGTGCCTGTGCGCGCATACACTTGCGAGTGCTTGCGTGCGTGTGTGCGCTTGTGTGCGTGTGTGCGCTTGCGTGCGTGCGCGCGTGTGTGAGAGCGTGTGCGTGCGCGCGTGCGAGCGCGTGCGTGCGTGCGCGCGTGTGTGCGAGCGCGCGCGTGCTTGCCTGCGCTTGCATGCGTGTCGACCGATATTGCAAATCAATGTCCCCTTTACGATTCTAGGAATCGTCGCTATTCCTTGGCCAGATTGGTTTACCGGATCGATTGCTCCTCAGTGCTCTCCAATTAAGGTTGGAAACTTGCGTGCGTCAGCTCCGTCCGTATCGCTGTCTGTCACGCGGGGGTCACGATAACTCGTCAGGATGATCTGAATTAAAAGTGTAAAGTTGTGTGGCTATTGAGGAACTCGCCTTTGGAAAAAAACTAGCCACATTGTTCAAAGCGCTGCCCCAAGCCATTATAATCGGTGCCGAACAGAGAAAAGCCTTTGGCTCAGGCGCCCCGCACGCACCTCTCCCTACGAGGCCACCGCACACGGCGTCCCTTGCCACCGTGTGTGGCACAGTTCTGTTGCTCCATGCCACCGGTACTGTCCGCGTGGTGTCACAGGGAGGGGGAGCCTGGCCTGAACGTGTCCACCCCGCTCGCTGCCTTTGCTTTGTTTGTAATAATTTGTCGAATTTGAGCCATGACAGAGTAAACATGGGCGGCAGGCGCCCCCACCACCTCCACCACCACCGCCACCACCATCGCCGCCACCACCACCACCACATGCGTACGTGCGTGCGCGACTGCCATCAGACGGTACCTACAATATTTATTAGCTCGCCAGGGGGAGGGGCCTGGGGAGGTCTTGGGAGGAGGGTTGAGAGGGGCGAAGGGGTGGGTGGTCTGCCACAGAGATTTATCTTTCTTAGGCTGATTTTGCAGAGTAGAGAGAAAGAGATGGAAAGAAGACTCGGATTTGAAAACAAACGAGATGAAGACATCACGTCAACCGTTAGGATAAGTATGTGAGCTTTGGCTGGATGCGACCCGGCTCGAAGACACGATCACAATAAAAAATATTTATTCATACTTGAACAATCCGATGAGACGGGCGACGGAGTGGCAGCCAAGGGATGGAACGTGCCAGAGAATAAATCTTCCGCGGAGATGGAGCGATGACGAAATCGGCTCCTTCCGCCAGCGCACCTTCATTTATTTATTTTAACGACCCGAGACACAAGGATGAGACCTCGTTTTGCGAGAGCGACCCCGGGGTCGCCAAACGGGCGAACGCAATGTGCCGGGCGTGATCGCGTGTGAGCGTGGAGATGGTGACGGCTCTTGGAGGGCCTTCATCCAGCAGCTCATGGAGGCCATGGCCGGCTGTGAGGAGCGGAGAAGTCCCCGGCCGGCCCTGATGCCCCCTGACGCCTGGGGCTGTGCTCAGAATGGCCGAAAGGCGTCTGAATGTTTAAAAAGTCGATGCAGCCGCCCGTGAATGCCTTGCCCTGACACCCCCACAGCGAAACGCGCTCAGCCGCGGGGCCCGGTGGGGAGGGGTGGGGGTGCCAGGGGGAGGGGTGGGGGTGCCAAGGTGGGGGGGGCGGGGGGTGCCGGTGGGAGGGGGGTCCCACCTCCCCGGTTTGGCTAACGACGGGGGAGGAGCGAGGATTTAAATCGGGAAAGGAAATTGGTTGATTAAATAAGTGGAAATTCAACTGAGATACGAGGAGGAGGAGGTGCACTTGATGTTGTCATCGGATCTAATGCTTTATCATCGAAGGTTGAATAGCTTTAGCTCTGTCCATCTGTTTGTCTCTCTGTTCGTCCATCTGTTACTTCCGTCTAGTCCGAGTGAGGGGGGAGAGGAATAAGGTGTTTGTGTGTGTTCATGTGACGTCGTCGCCCTGTGGGCAACAAGGCCAATCTCTCATAGCTGGATTTTTAATTGCCAAATGTTGGGAAGGCCTTTGATCAGTACGTTCCGGTTTCCTGTACGGCGAGTTACTAGATACAGTGAGGGAAAAAAGTATTTGATCCCCTACTGATTTTGTACGTTTAACCCACTGACAAAGAAATGATCAGTCTATAATTTTAATGGTAGGTTTATTTCAACAGTGAGAGACAGAATAACAAAAAATTCTAGAAAAACGCATGTCAAAAATGTTATAAATTGATTTGCATTTTAATGAGGGAAATAAGTATTTGACCCCCTCTCAATCAGAAAGATTTCTGGCTCCCAGGTGTCTTTTATACAGGTAACGAGCTGATATTAGGAGCACACTCTTAAAGGGAGTGCTCCTAATCTCAGCTTGTTACCTGTATAAAAGATACCTGTCAACAAGCAATCAATTAATCAGATTCCAAACTCTCCACCATGGCCAAGACCAAAGAGCTCTCCAAGAATGTCAGAGACAAGATTGTAGACCTACACAAGGCTGGAATGGGCTACAAGACCATTGCCAAGCAGCTTGGTGAGAAGGTGACAACAGTTGGTGCGATTATTCGCAAATGGAAGAAACACAAAAGAACTGTCAATCTCCCTCGGCCTGGGGCTCCATGCAAGATCTCACTTCGTGGAGTTGCAATGATCATGAGAACGGTGAGGAATCAGCCCAGAACTACACGGGAGGATCTTGTTAATTATCTCAAGGCAACTGGGACCATAGTCACCAAGAAAAAAATTGGTAACACTACGCCGTGAAGGACTGAAATCCTGCAGCGTCCGCAAGGTCCCCCAGCTCAAGAAAGCACATATACATGCCCGTCTGAAGTTTGCCAATGAACATCTGAATGATTCAGAGGACAGCTGGGTGAAAGTGTTGTGGTCAGATGAGACCAAAATGGAGCTCTTTGGCATCAACTCAACTCGCCGTGTTTGGAGGAGGAGGAATGCTGCCTATGACCCCAAGAACACCATCCCCACCGTCAAACATGGAGGTGGAAACATGCTTTTGGGGTTGTTTTTCTGCTAAGGGGACAGGACAACTTCACCGCATCAAAGGGACGATGGACGGGGCCATGTACCGTCAAATCTTGGGTGAGAACCTTCTTCCCTCAGCCAGGGCATTGAAAATGGGTCGTGGATGGGTATTCCAGCATGACAATGACCCAAAACACATGGCCAAGGCAACAAAGGAGTGGCTCAAGAAGAAGCACATTAAGGTCCTGGAGTGGCCTAGCCAGTCTCCAGACCTTCATCCCATAGAAAATCTGTGGAGGGAGCTGAAGGTTCGAGTTGCCAAACGTCAGCCTCGAAACCTTAATGACTTGGAGAAGATCTGCAAAGAGGAGTGGGACAAAATCCCTCCTGAGATATGTGCAAACCTGGTGGCCAACTACAAGAAACGTCTGACCTCTTTGATTGCCAACAAGGGTTTTGCCACCAAGTACTAAGTCATGTTTTGCAGAAGGGTCAAATACTTATTTCCCTCATTAAGATGCAAATCAATTAATAACATTTTTGACATGCGTTTTTCTGGATTTTTTTGTTGTTATTCTGTCTCTCACTGTTCAAATAAACCTACCATTAAAATTATAGACTGATAATTTCTTTGTCAGTGGGCAAACGTACAAAATCAGCAGGGAATCAAATACTTTTTTCCCTCACTGTACCTACGCAACTTTACACTCGTACGCCACTCGCGTTGCATCGTCATTGCGAGAGTCACCAGGACCTCGAAGCTGCACGCCGCCGACACCATCAAGGCTGGATTATGGACCGGGCTAGTGGTGCCAGTGCCCCGGGGCCTTGGACTGCCAGGGGGCCTCCATGCCTCAGGCCGTGCACGGTATGTGGCCCACGACTTCCGAAGGAAGTTCAACGCCAGGGCCCTCAATGCGCACATCGCAAGCTGACCACTAGGCCCCTGGGTGCTTATAGCGTGAGCTAACCACTGGGGCCTCCCAGACCCTTCAGCGCTTGCAATGTGAGGGCCCCCAGGCCCCTTGGTGTTTAAAATGTGAGCTCACCACTACTGCTCCCCAGACCCCTCGGCGCTTACAGTGTGAGAGCTCCCAGGCCCCTTGGCGTTTTTTAAAGAGTGAGCTGACCACTAGGGCCCCTAGGCTCCTGGGGCTTAAAGCGTGATCTGACCACTGGAGCCACTGGGCCCCTGGGCCCCTTGGCCCCTCGGCACCTACAGTGTGAGGGCCCCTGGGCCCCTCTACGATTAAAGCATGAGCTGACCACTAGGGCCCCCGGGCCCCGCAGCGCTTACAATGTGAGGTCCCTCAGTGCTTAAAGCGCGAGTTGACCACTGGGGCCCCGGGCCCCTGGGTGTTTACAGTGTGAGTTGACCACTAGGGCCCCCAGGCCCCTCGGTGCATACATCGAGCGTAACACCTGGCCCCTTGGTACATATAGTGCATGCTTAAAACGAGAGCCTCTCGGGGAGTACAGTACTTCTGTACAACTGAGCCACTGGTTGGCAATCTACAATATGCTGTGACATGATCCAATATTCACCAACAAGTCAGTTCATTCTGCATAACTAGACAGTTTTAAGGGC